TGATGGTGGATTACTTCGATTAGTTATCACTAAAACTGCGGTTGGATAGTTTTCATGATTTGTTGTGTATATGTTCTTGATGTTCTATACTGTGCGAAGTTTTGTATACTTTCCCATTTTTTGCGGTTTGTGGAGTGATGTTCTGTTTTCTTTTTATTTGGGTCCCCCTTTTCATCCCTTTGTAACCGGAATTTTGGTTTTTAGAAGTTTCTTTGGTGCTTGGTGCTTGTAACTTGTTCTGAGATGGTCGAAGACTGATCTTGAGAAAATTGTGTAGATAATTATTGCTAATCTAATATAATGATTCCTATATTTTTAAGATTATTCAGTATTGAATAATCTTATATTTATACCTGATAGGATGATATAAACTCCCCGGACTCAAAATCCTATACGCTACCCATCAAGGACAGGGACAGAATCCCAACTATTCCATTCACAATGGAGTGATATAAAGTTCTAGTGAATCTTAAGTAATCATTCAATCTATATATTTACTTTTCAGGGCTCTATGTAATCTCTATATAGTTAGTTCATACAAATCTGAATAAAATGAAATCCTTACTTTCCTTTTTACATTTTGATACGATTTTGATGAAGTGATTGTGCTATAAGTTAGATATATATTTATGATTTTATAAATTATTATTAATTGAATCTCATTATATTTTCTGATTTGAATGAGATATGAAATCCTAATTGTTTAGTCTAATATTTGACTTTTAAATCATTTTTTCTTTTAAATTATCTTTTTATAATAAAAATAATAATTTTCACTAATTAATAATTGTGACGCCTCACACCTCCGGGTCACGTGGCATGCCCCGTTTGTATTTAATCACAGGAAAACTCGCTACTCTTGTTTTCCTTCTTCTTTTCTTCTTAGTTTAATATTTTCTAATACAAGATACTTTACTCAGTATTCTTGAGTGTGACAATAATCCTGTAACAAATAAATAAAATAAATTGAAATTTTAAATACAAATTTATTATATATATAAACTGAAGTAAATTTGTGCCACACTCAAGAATACTAGGTAAAGTATATTGTATTAGAAAATACTAAACTAAGGAGAAAAGAAGAAAAACAAAAGTAGAGGGTTTTCCTGTGATTAAATACAGACGGGGCATGCCACGTGACCCCGAGGGGTGTGAGGCGTCACAATTTTAGACTTTTCAAATTTTTATAATTAATTCCGTTGAGATCTAAAAGATTAAATTTTTGAATTTTCAATTTGTATTGTAGGATTTATATATAAAATCTTTAAAATAATTAAAAATAAAACAATTATAATTGATTTTAAATTATATTTTTTTAAAATTTGAAAATATAATTAATATTTAATGAAAATTATTTTAATTTTAAAAATTAATAAAAGATATACTTTTATATGTACTTTAGAATTTTAAAATCTTAAATAAAATTGATAGATTGTGAATTAATAGATTTGATATAGTATTTTCAAGATTTAAAAAGAGTATTATATAATGAATTTTGAAATATATTATATTATATTTTATTAAACTATATATACTAATTTACATCAGATTATGATATCAAATAATACTCACCGCAACCACCAATCCCATCCCTGTCACGATTCACCATTAGGATTGATGGTGTTACGATGGTAGCAAACTGATTAATTAGGAGAGCTTAGGCCGTGTGCAAACACGATCAGATTTCATCGAATTAGTATGTGATCTTGGTCACCTGAAGATCGTATGCGCACGCACCATCAGAAATCGCGTGATAAGGAGTCTTGAGGAGCCAGAAAGCTCCTAGGGGCCCCCTTTATTGTTCAGTATATAGTCAGAGTAGTTTCATAGTTTAGGAGCTTCGTGCTCAACTTAGTTATCAATTAGTTTACCTACATTCTACTTGATCTAGTAACGACTTCACTTCCAAGTGAAGACTAGTGATAAAGCCTTAACCCACAACTACCAATCAGACGAAACCTCAGGCAGCCGCTGCCTCCAGTACAGTATCGTTACAATCCCTTTCATCCTATCTCCTCTCACCCCCTCAACTCCTCCATACCTCTCACAAAAACCCAAACAACCCTCCACCCCCACCCTCCAAACCCCCCTACAACCACCTATGAAACCCAGGCACCCCTCCCCTCTCCCTCCACCCCTCCCCCCACCAAATCAACGCCCCAACAGGCGCAAAAAACACCAAAAGCGTCATCGCAAACGTGAACCACGCCCATGTAAACCCTACTTCATCCGCAAACGGCAGAGCGAAATAACCCACGACGAATGAGAGGCCCCGGGAAAGATTAAAGAGGACGCCTGTTTCGGCGGTTTGGGGTTTGTAGCAGTCGGAAACGTAGGCGTAGAGGGTTGTGGAGGCGATTTGGAGACCGAAGACGCCTATGGGGGGGAGGGGGGGTTAGTTATATTTGGAGGGGGGGGTTGAGGGGGGGAAGGGAGGGGTTTAGGGGATTAGTATTAGTTGGGAGGGGGGATTGAAGGGGTTAGGATGAGGATGGTGAGGACGGTGAGGTTGGTGAGGTTGGAATAGGATAGATATTGATAAGATATAAACAAGTAAACGAACATACCAATAGCCAAACCAATAAGAGGAATAATATAATGGGCCTTTCCCACCGTAGCCCCAAAAACAATCAATCCAACGGGCATAAACACCGCCGATAAACAACAAAGATAAAGTCTATATTCGGGTTTCCTTACATTTCCATTCTTTCTCGCCATACGATACATGACATAATCACTTGCTTTTCCCGCGCTGAGTTCTCCAAGGAAACTACCTATCATGAGAGAAACACCTAGACAGAGACCAATGGGTCCGGATTTTAAACCGTAGAATCCAGTGTAGATGGTGGCGATGGTGATGGCGGGCATAACATTAATAAAAGTCCATGCCCATGTGTAGTACCAAAAAGGGAAGAAGATAGAAGGATAGCGGAGCATGTAGAAGGATTGGAAGAAATGGGAAAAGTGGAGTGAACGATTAGGGAGAGCATTCCCTCGAAAATCAAAGAGAAGTTCATAGTATGTGCGAGTTTTGGTACGTGTAGAGAGATAGGATGGATCTCGAGAGAAGAGTGTTTCGGGGAAGAGAAAAATGGCAAGGAGGAGTGAAACGGATGTACTGATTGCTCCGACCCAGTAATCCCATTGCCATCCTAAGGATGAACCAAGATAACCACCAACTATATTTATTAGGTTAGTTAATTCTTCACATGGAAATTTCACTTGGGTGAGTTTCTTACTGATGGCAGCTACATGAGCACCATTTGTGATAAAAATAGAGTATACACCAGTAGCTTCACCTCTTTGATGAAGAAAAAACATATCATTCACACAAGCAGTTCCTACTGACATCATGCCACCAAATCCAGCCCCACAAAGTGCCCTTGTACCAACTAGTTGGGCAAATGTAGTTGAGCAAGCTGATGTTACTCCTCCAATGATAGTCAAGATGATTGCGAATAAAGTGATAGGTCTACGACCATAGATATTTGTGAGAGGTGCATAAATGAATGGTGAAACACCTCCCGTGATAATTGCTGTAGTTGTACTGTATGCGGCTACTTGAGGACTGACACCAAGCGTTTTACTTAGGAGAACTAAACTTGGATTAATGAGGGCGGCATTGTAGGGTCCTAAGGCTGCCATATAGCCAACTTGAATGAGAACTGCCCATTTGAGCCATGTTGGCCAATTCTGTAGGTTATCAGCGTTGTGTTTATTTATCGAAGAGATAAATTTTGAATGTCATGAAGGGATGTATTGGAATTTTGAGATATATCGGCAATATCGGATAATGATTTAAAAAACAACATACCAATGGATCATCTTTAAAGCGACTGGGTTGAGGTACTAGTGGTAATCCATGTTGATCAAGTTTGATTTCTGGGACTTGGGATGTTGAACCCGATTCCACGCAAATTGAAATTTTTCGATGGGCATCAAATTGATCAACATTTGCTATGTTTGATTGACTTGATGACATGTTGGAATATGTGGTACGGAAACAACACTACCAGCCCTATCCTTGACCATGAAAAGATTGTTGGTGATGAGGTGGGTGAAAGGAAGTGGAGGGTTCAAGAACGAGCTCTGTACTACATGCTCAACAGGATATTATACTAGGAAAAGAAAGTATCAGCTCCCTTACGTGTGGATATATACATTTTGTTTAGAGAAATCATGCCAAGTATCATAAGATGTACTCTAAGATGAGGAAGTACAGGAAATGGAGTATACATTGGTACAATGGTGATATGTATATCGACATGGCCTTTTACATGAGGATAGAGTGATTAATAAAGGATACAGTAACGAGTAAACGCGGCACACATACCTCTCTTTCGGGCGAGCCGTTCTCAGAAAGGACCCGAGACAGTGGTAAAGTGAGACCAATGGGGACACGAGGGTTATGTATGAATAACGGTATGTTACTGTAGCTTGGCAGGGCAAAGACAAGGTATTATATGGTCAATGGGGATTAGTTTAGATTCATGTGTAAGGACTAAATGTTCTCGAACGATGAGAGATGGATGAGTAAATGAATTTTTAATATGGATTGAACCAACAGTTAGGCCAAGGAAGAAGAGGGAAAAGGGAAAAGGGAAAGGGAAAAGGTAAAAATGACCGGGTTGATTAGCCGTTCAATGTCCATGTACTCTCTGTATATGAGAAAGGAATGATACGCAGCAAAGGATATTTATTATTGTACGGGCATTTACCTGAGTGAAGGGTAGCCGTACCTAGTAGGATATAAGTTTCCAAGTTTTCCACTTTCGACCTCTCCCCATGGTGTGAGTTCTACATAGGTAATAAGATCTACATGTAAACTCTGAAGAGAAAAAGCTTGTCCTACGAAATCGAAGATCGAGCATCATAACTTGGGGATGTACCCAGAATAGAGCGAGCAATCATTTTGCAGGAGAAGGCGTAACCTTCCTTCTGTTAGGATCCTAGGCAATGAATGAGTGAAGCATCAGGATATGTTATTATTGAGTGAACTTGGTCCGGACTTGATTAAAGTCTTGGAAGGGTTTAATTCGTAATCTTACGCACTGATGTGGAGCAAAAATGGATACCTCGCCAAGGTATTAAATAGTATTATCTAAGCGAATGGCAATCAATGGGTTAAAAGCAGCGATTCAAATTTGAGGCGAGTTTGAGGAGTGAAGTGGAGTGAATGAAGTGTGAAGTGTGATGAAGTGATTGAATGATTGAGTGATCTTGCATCATTTCCAGTAGATCAAGATATATACTAGCTACTAGGTATATACTGACCGGGTATTTTAATGGTGTCTATACTACCTATACTATTGCTCACCTACTAGATAAGTAGATAGATACTCATACATCCGTCTTCACCTAGTGAAAAGTACCTTTGAAAAAAGATAACTTTCTCAATGTACCTATACCTTGGTACCTATCTTTAATCGCTCAATTTTCGTACATAGACGGATAGACGGGATTCGACAGGCACACACAAACCTGTACATGTTAAATGACTTGCTCCAGTATCTCGGTACCGGCAGAAGATTAGATCAAAGGCAATAATGAATGGCATGTTACATCCATCAAGATTCCTCAATCAACGTGGTTCTAGAAGGTCTTGAATTTAATTGGGTTATTTACTCTATGACCTGATTTGTTTAGCAGAGTACATAGCTGACTGAATGTGTAAATGCTTCAACAACTAAAGGTAAAGATGGTCCATGTGTTGAATCTGTTGATGCATTCGATTTTCAACATCTTCCCAGGATAGGTTTCCTACCGTTGCACTAAAGATTTAAGTAAGTTGACAAAATTGGGCTAACGAAGAGGACTGTGAGTTTGAGTGAATGCTTGATGCTTGATTCTCATCCTCCATTAGTACGCATTCCAACCATTTTAAAGCTTCATTTATTGACAACAATTGGATGAACGAGCCGACTAAAGTCTAGTACCTATGTATTAGATACTTTTGAAAGCTCCGATCAATGGCAAGAAGTGGATGAATAACCCTCAATCAATGATACCTAGGTACTTATTGGTGAATATTCTCCTCAGATCCATGTATTGGAGTATAGATACCTTGGAAACTTTCATCTCGTCTCGTCAAGAACTGCTGCGTTGATCTCCTATGAGCTGATGTGCTGGGGTACACGATAATATTAACCATCATGTACCTAGTACTTAACTCTGCCGTAGCTTGAAATATGCCTGTCATGGAAATCTACTGATTTTCTTAGCTTTCAAAGTAAATTACCATCTGTTGGAATTCGATGCATCTCATAGGTATGTACTTAGTACAGGTGTCCGAGCAACTAAGGTCTAGTAAATCTATTTACCTGCAGTAGTAAGAGGTAGAAAAAGAGGGACCCAACTTCAAACATAATCCAATTCGTAGAAGGTGTGTCAACAGGATGGACACTTATTATGTATTCGGAAAGAGGAAGAAAAAGAATAAGAACAAGAATACCTGTTTACAAGTTGTGTACAAATGAGATGGCACCTGCAGTATATAGAAAAGAAGGTAAGACTTATAACACCTGGGTATATACAATATATATTTTATCAAGATAGGTAAATATATGTATTTACAACAAATATTTTATTAGTACAGGTATATATAGCTATATACAATATATATTTATTGACAAGTCATCAAACCCAGCTTTTCCAATCTTTCACTTCCAACAACCTTCAAACTCGTAAATGTGAATTGAATGAATGAATGAATCCCTGTAATAAGACTACATTAAAATGTGCCGGTACTGACCAAAATCATAGGCACAAAGATTAATAAAGAGCCAAGTCAGCACTGACAATTCGTTCTTGCCTTGATTTATTACTCGAGTATTATTACTTTAATGCTTGATTATTACTTGATTATTACTTGATTACTTGTTGATTTCGGCCTTTCTCAACCACCAAATTACATCGTACATAGGTACATACTACATCTGGGCAATTGTTGACAACTACCATCATACCTGCTAGCCTGCTACTATCACGAATCTCTCTTCACACTCCATACTCCACACTCCGCAATCCATCACCTATCAACCTTTCCGAGCTATCTGCAACTTTATTCGTACTACACGAGACTAGTCGGTCAAGTCACTCAACTTCATAAACTGACTAATAGACTAACTTCCATTTTCATCCGAGTCATACAATCATGAGTATATGAACAAGAGTTTCTTTATATATTCTCATGTTACATACACATTCAATCATATGTATTCATACTCATAACTGACCTGACACCGATTATTGATCATCACGTCAAATACACCCACTTCTCCAACTCCATCCTCTAACATCCCCGGACTGGTGGAGTCAGATCTGCCCTTCCCCCGGCCCAGAAGATGCCTCCATCCCCCCAGAAGAAAAAGCCTGGAAAGGTTCGCATTCCGGATCACTTACGAAAACGAGCTCTTGTCTCTTGCGATCGTTGCAAACAGCGTAGAATTCGTTGTTCACGAGTGGGTGAAGAACCCTGTCAGAATTGTGTCGAAGCCAATGTGGATTGTGAATGCAACCTTCCTCGGAAGACGAGAATTTATGGAAGTGTCGAAACTCTTACTACACGCTATCGCGTTCTGGATGCATTAATCAAAGGGATATTCCCTCAGAAGGATACAAATGATATCGACGTCCTATACGAGATTGCTGCATCTCATAACATAACTTTACCTGACTTCACCGCCGATAATCCCATCGAGAGCAATGCGCACGTTCATGATGTTTTTGCCCAAGTCCCAAAGGCATTGGCATCATCACCAGCTTATTCCGATACTAGCCAGCGAACCATGAAAGATGAGCCATCACCAACAGGGAAAGTAGTTACCTTACCCAGCTCACCACAAGAAGCCCTTGTTCCAACAGCTTCGGGAGGAGAATCGCATTTCGTCGGACCTTCTTCAAGCCTTGGATTTGCGCTCAGTTGTCGTATGTTGGTAAAACCATTTGCTGATTACTTGAGGATGACTCAACCGGATCATCCAAATTTACAGTTGATGATGAACTTTGCGACTTCAACATGGAGTAAAGCTTTAGAACCAAAAGCTGCCGAAGAACGTCAAACTGCTCCTGGACCGGCGGATCTAGAGCGAGCGGCGCATGTATCTGGAAATTATCACGTGCCTTCAATTGTTCCGGGAAAAGATCCCTCGGAAAAGGAACCTCTATCTTCACTTCTGCCCTCTCGAGAGATTGCAGATGTCCTCGTTAGATCATTCTTTGACCGCGTTCATCCAAATTTTTTGATTTTCCATCGTCACTCTTTTGAGCAGCGGTATAACACGATGTGGAGCCAACTTAATGTTCAAGTACAAGATTTCGAAACCGGATGGCTATGTTCTGTTCTTATGGTTCTAGTGCTCGGCGCTCAAGCTCTTGAGCCACGCGATGATTTGTACATGGATTATACTCAGAATTATAAAGCATGGGCGCAATCAAGGACTTCCCAACTTCAGGTTTCAAGTACTTTGGTCAATATTCAAGCTCTGCTCCTCTTACACTTGTATTTACATAACATATCCGAACGTAATTTAGCTTCTATTATGTTACGAGCAGCTTCCACCATGGCCACAATTCTTGGGATGCATCGAGAAGAGGGTAATAATCGCAATCAAATCGAGAGTGAGTTACGACGTCGTATTTGGTGGACAATTTATGTACTCGAACATAATTCATGCACGATCCTGGGTAGGCCTTGTTTCATCGATGATAAGGAGGTCTGTGTTCAATTCCCCAATGAAGATTTACTCGATGGCAGTGCCTGTGTGCCTATGCGTTATGTTGAGGAGTTGGTTCGTTTGACCAAAATCATGGCGGAAACTAGTAGAATGATATACCCCCCTCGTTCAATGCCAACTCCATATACAGACCAACAAAGGATCCGCAACGCCAATCAATTAATCATGGATTTGGAAACATGGCACCATCGTTTGCCTCCACATCTTCGTCTCGAGTCTCAAACACAATCAGTTATTCACATGCGAGCGATTTATCTACTTCATCTTCAATTTCATCATACGCAATCTCTTGTCGCCCGTCCATTCATAATACGGAAAGTAGCTGCACAACTAGGTCGAAAACTAGGAAAGCAGACTCGCTTTAGCAACATTGTCAATGATGAAGAGGTTAAGCTGGGTTCCAAATGCTGCCTCTATTCCAAGCAGTCTATTACACTTGCCCATCAACTTATCACTTCAGGTCAATTCAATGGTGTAACTTGGATGGATCCTTATTATGTCTACCATAGTGTAGTCGTTATTTCTTTGGATTTCCTAGGCAAAGATAAACCATACAGCAATGAAGACATGTCTCTTAAAAAGGCTGTCTCTGATATAAAAAACGCCATGGACAACGTTCGTCTCTGTCCAGTCTTTGCCATGCTCACACAGGTCGCCTTTCAATTAGCTCAAATTGTAGACCTCATCGATAATCACACATCCAATGCACAACCTCAACATATCGACAGCAGGCATCTACAATCAAACGTTCAAGCAATAGCTGGTCCTGATTTCGTTCTTGAAGACTCCCGGCAACCAAGCAGTATGGGAGGTGATATCTTTGATTGGATTCTAAAAGGGAATAATATGCATATGCTATTCAAAGTTGGACCGGATGGTTTTGCTCCTACCCCCAAAGTTTCAGCATCAATGATGGCCCGGTACATGGACCCTAGCATGCCTGTTATGGATGACCATACTGTTGCCACGGCTATGCAGGGACAGATCCAACCACAACAAACATATGTGAATTGGCAAGCAGGTGGATATGGTGTTATGCCTGCACATGCTCAATATGGAAATCCAACAACGGCTCCGGCGCATGTCAGTGGTAATGGTAATGGAAGTGGCCATGCTCAAGGACAATACGCAGCTCAAGCAGTTCCGTCACTTCTCCATGCTAATGCTAATATTCACCCTCACCCACAATATGGAAATCCAACAACAACATCAACAGCAGTTTCATCGCCCGTCAATGCTTTAAATGCGAATAATCATGCTCAAACGCAATATGCAAATCCACCCCAGGCGGGTCCATCGCATATGAGTGGTAATAATCATGATCTTAATTATGATATTCAGAGGAATGCTTAATGAATGCTTTATGAGAGAGGATTTGTATATTCGGTTTGAGGAAGTTTTCTTGTAGAGTTTCAGTTTGATGGAGTTTGATGGTTGATGGTTGGTGCTGGATGGTTTTGATTATTGATTGATTGATGGGTTAATAGGTTAATAATGAGTTTACGGTTATGTATATGATACTCATGTCTGGTTGGTGTGTGATATATAGGTATGGGTATGGGTATGTTTAGTATGATTATTTCGGTTGGGAGTTGGAGTAAGGAATAGAGAGGGAGAGAGATAGAGATGGGGAATAAGGAATAACGAATAGTGATTAAGGAGTTGGGAATGTGGTATTATTAGAAATACTGTATTGTATGTATATAATTATTGTTTTGATAATAGAATGACATGTCTGACTGATTGTGTACTTTTTCAAATATAACAAAATGGTAATTGATATATAATTTGTAGAAATGATATATATATAAATGTAGAGGTCTTAAGTATTGAAGTTATGTGTTAATTATATAATTAAATATTAATTAATATAAAAACAAAGAGTAAGGTAATACTAATATTAATATAATTATATTGTAATACCTCTTTTCTCTTTCTCTTCTTTTACTCCTCCTAAAGTTACTACTCATCTTTTCATCACACTACATCACAACACACCACATCAACCCAAATCAAATCCCTCAATACCTCATTCCATCCAAACCCCCCTTTCTCCTTCATATCTTCACATCTTCCCCTTCCCTTTCTTCACCCCCTTCCCCTTCCCCTTACCTTTCCTCACACCCCCCCCCCCAACCCCCCCAACTCCCGCACCAACCACTCCACCACCCCCCCATACCCACACTGCCTCCTCCTCATGACCTCCAAAAAAGCCCCCAGCGCCAACCTCCTCATTTCCCATTTCTGCACCTCACATTTATACCCCTTATACTTCCCTCTTCCATCCTCCCCTCTCCCTTCCTCATCCCCACTTTCCCTCCCTCTTCCACCCCGTCTACTCAAACACCACCCCAAAGCGACCAAATCCCCAATCGTCCGAATGATCAAAGCACATTTAGGTTTTTTGGACACGGGCAAACATTTTATATATGAGGTCATTTTGGTGGCGGATTCGAGATACGAGGTGTAGATGTTTTTGTGGACGGTGGGGAGGGAATTGTGCGAGGTGTCGAGGTACATGGGGTGGGTTTGGAGGGTGAGCGAATCTATTAAGGGGGAGGGGGGGAGGTTAGTTTTTGTGTTTTTGGGGGGGGAGGATGGAGGATGGAGGATGGAGGATGGAGGATGGAGGATGGAAGTGTGTATAGTGGGAGGGAGGGTGAAGAGGGATCGTGAGGGAGAGGATGCGTGTAAAATGGTATGTTGGTGATGGATGATGGGAGATGTGATGGATGGATAGAAGGGAGAATTGATAGATGATGGATGATACTAGCACATCAAAAATGTCATTGAGATCCTCTCCAGGATCAAAAAAACAAAAAAAACATACAACAGTGGGGATTCGCTGGTGGTCACCCACCCAACTACTAATCCACCGATCTGAAGCTTGTGTATGGCAGAGCGGACGGGATGCCCAATTCTCTTCAGTCTATGGTCGTATGTGATAGAAGGCGCTCTGTTTGGATACATATTCACATATCTTGGGATGTTGTGGTTTTGGCAAAAGAAATAGGACAAGAAACATAGAGAAAGAAAAGTAATTAATGACTTACTAAGAACTTTCCGATGAAATGTTTTACCCGGAATCCTAGAATATTCAACTGTGAGGGAATCTTGTATTGCTGTTCAATGGATATCAGTAAATAAATTCCAAAATAACGACATCTCCAGAAAGGGTAAAATGTTAAAAAACTCACCTAAATCTTTCCCTCTACCCCTATCCCTTGCAATATTCAATGTCTTCATATCAATCAAATTCCCACAATATGGAAACATCTTTTCACCCACAATCCTCTTAATTTTCTTCCCATAAATCATCACTTCGAAATTTGTAAGTGTCTTGTCCGGATTTACACCTACTCCATATTCAGGTATTCCATCATGCATTACTTTCAAGAAACGTTTTGCGTGTGCTGGGTTGAGTGTTATGAGTAAAAAGTCATCAATCAGTCTCAGAAGCAGACTTTCATCAGATTGAAGAAAAGATAAATGTTTAGCTTCCAGATCTGCATAAAAGTAATTGCAGAGTAAGGAGGAAAGAATTGAACCCTGTGGAATTCCTTCTTTTTGACGGTAGAATTTCTTACCAATTTTCACCATATTTTGTGAGATATGTTCAGTCAGGAGATGGAGAAGGGAATTAGTATCACGGATCTGATTGACAATGTTTTCGACGAATACAGTATTCTTTTTGCCAATGGCTATGTCATTTTCAAGATCCTCATCGAAATTATCGAGATGGTGCATAGACTTAGCGTTGGATTTCCATCTTCGGATGGGCTTGTTTGGTGCATTAGGATCGATGTTGTAGGCATCTGTAGGTTTAATCTCAACATGTCTCGAGAATCTATACTCTGGTTCTGAAGGAACGGTTTTCATGAGCTTGATGACTGCAACCTGGGGAATGGTGTCGAATGCGGCTTGGACATCCACTTTGGCAAAATAGAGGGGCTTTGTTGATGCATTGAGCGAAGCTTTAAAGGACTTGACCTTCTGATATAGATCACCAACAGAGAAGAGTGTTGATCCAAGACGAGTTAGGTTGTTTGCCTACAAATATTAGTCACTACCAAACACAATTATGAATGGTGCTTACCTTCTCGTATGTGAGCACATTATGTACTGGCGTTAGTACGCTGTTAATACTGACACCTAACAGGTGCTTATCGCCTTTACGCATCGCTCTTCTCCTTAGATTCATGATTGGTCGCACACCAGTTTCCTTAGGTATTAGTCGCATTTGACTGAAGCCTAAGGTTCGTGAAGCAAGTATCTGTTGAGCCTCCTTAAGCTTCACTTCCTCAAACATTTTTAGCTTCAAGGAAGCCATAGCAGGTTCTGCAACTGATTTCCAAACATCATGGCGAAAGAAGAAAAGTCGCTGACGATGAACATTCGACTCAGTGACATGAAAATGTGAGCGAACTAGTGGAATAAGAATCGAATCAAATAAGTAATATAGGAACTCAAGGAAGATTTCGCGACGTTTATTAAAATCAGTCAGTGATAATTTTTGGTTCGAGGTACTTGGTGTTCCCAACCATTCAATCTCGGCAATCTATCAAATGTTAGAAAGCTTTTCTCCAATCATGAGGAAAAAGGTCACCTTGATTCCCTGCATAACTTCGTGAAGTGACAAAACCTCAAATCTTCTCAAACCAATGAAGTTATCCACATTCTTATGGAAGATGCTTTCATTATGTGCCTGCACATCTCCCATTCCCCAAAATTCATGCGGTATGATGTTTCGAAGTACCGCACGACAGAATGCAGATACTTCAGCAGTAGAACTTGCATGGTCCATTAAAGTTGATTTTCGAGCTGGAATTGAAGGTGCACTCGATGAGAGTATGGAGGAGCTGTGGCATTTTCGATAAGATTGAATTTTCAACGATGTCGAGTTAAATGAAGGCTCTTCTTGTATACGGTTTGCATTACCATCCTCATGCTTCCGATTCTGTAAATGTCAATAGAGGCTATAAGATGACAATATGTAGACTGACCGGGCAATAATATTCCAACAAGTAATTGTATGAGCATCTGGAATGCAATACCTGTAGCTTTCTGACCAAATCCTTCGCCTTGCCACGAAGTCTTTTGGGAATTTTGATGCCCTTTGCTTCAGGGTATTTCGAATCAATTTCTTCTTCACGTAATGTGTAATCTTTAAATGGTTGAACAGTTTCTCGATTGTCAACCTCTGAAGTAAAGACATTGTGAAGATCAAATTGCAAAGGAAATATATACATAAGAATTCTGACGATGTTTTTCTCGGGCCCTCGCCGACTAATGATGGGATCATCATTGGCTTGAGATCGAAATCGGTTGAAAATATCTACACCAAACAAACAATCAGTTTGTATCTATAATTCTAATACATTATTAACTTACGAATGTGTCTCAAACCAAACTGAACTTCACCTTGAGCATTCAAAGCAGCCTTTGCATATAGCATTCGGTTTCTTACAAAATTGATTTCCATTGGATTGTGCAAGATACCTGGTTGCTGATCTTTCTTTGAACCACTGTCTGCTCCAGATTCTTTTCCATGGTGTTTTCCATTTGTAATAGGTAAGATTTCACCTAAAGGCTGACCTATTTACAAGTCATCAGCCAAGATTGAGTATCATCAAATCCATTGAAACTTACCACTGAGTTGGTAATAGCTACCATGTGTATTTTTTATTTGAAGAAAAACTCCACAGTCAAGAATCAAATCACTCATGACATGCTCTCCAGCTTTTCCTAACAAAGAGAGAACATGAGGCCATGGCCAGGCTTTCATAGCTGTCACATGACTATTAGGATATACTGAGTTGATTCCAGGTATAGAAGTCCTGAGATTTTCACCCCTATGAACAGAACGAGAACTAACATCTTTACGATATCCTTGACAAAGTAAGTGTTGTAGTCTCCCATTCGATGATTTTGATTTTGAAAACAGTAACCAAATAGCAAAATCAACAATCTGGTGAGATTCTTAGTAGCTAGTCCGAGACAAGAACATTCCGGAAGAAAGATTGTTGATAAGCACTCACCTCTGATTGGGAGTAAACATCTGTACAATTTGAATTTGCAATAGTCGACACAGAAACGTCTCCTCTTTGTGAAAAGGAAACCCACTCTTTCAACCTGTCTTCTTGAGAAAGCCCATTATTTGATGATACACCTATCAATGTACCATCAAGGAAATCACCTAGCACACGGTCCTCATCTTCATCATCATCCCCATCTTGATATGGAATATTTGCAGAAGCCTTGCGACCCACAGAGGATAACTTCTTCCTCCGTACCTTGGAGGACACTGGAAGCTTTGAAAGTAGATAATCTCGAAGACATAAAACATTAGGGTAATATTTGTTCAGCAAAGCTTGCTTTACGGGAGGATCCTTGCTGTAACCGTCTCCCGAGGTCCTTTGACGTTTATTGGAATCTGCAAGACCAGTGTCATTGCCATTGCCATTGCCAGTATCAGCGCCAGTACTAGTGACAGCATGGTTTCGCTTTCTCTTACTAGCCATATTGAGCAGTTGATTTTGTGAGAGGTAGTTTTGACTTTATGATCATCAAGTAGACCGGTTTTCCTTAAGATAGTTTGTCTTGATGTTTAATTGTGAAGTCCATGTTCTTGGAGATCCTATAGACTAGATGTTGATCTTTTAGATGCAGGGGGACTGCTAGTATCCACCCAATTCTGCAGCCTTATAGAGTTATAAGGCTGTAGGTTAGGTGAGATTGCTGAAATATTAATGTTTTGATTTTGAAAATTCAATAACCTTGAGCATCCTTGCATCTGTGAATGCTGAGCACATGAATAAAAATGTGAAGTAAGGGGGCATCAACGACTGATCAAAGCAAGGAGTTGTTTCAATTGGCGTTGAACAAAATAAAATTGGAGTAGAAGAGGAAGAAGACAAGCGGCTGGTCGGCCTCTGGTAAATTTTGATCATTGGTTAAACATCCGAACATCATCCTGATTTTCAATGCCGATCTAGAATTGGAGATATCGATAACCGATAAGACTTGGTTCTTGGTTCTCGGTCTTGGTTGTCTTGCTGCTGCAAGTGATAGGAGAGAGATGAAAGACAACGTTGGAGACAGGAATGAATATGAAATGAAACGGTTGAATTTATCTACAAGACTTTGTTTGTTACCCGGGTACTAGGCATTTCGAAGAACGGACGATGATGAATAATGAAACGACATACTCTGTAGATTAAAACCTAGCTACCACTGGCTTCTAAAGCTACCAGGTAGGTAGTAGATAGGTACATCAGGATAGCAAATTACGGGGCAACCTTTTCTATAATCGGATTCACCAAAAGGGATTTACTGGGTACCTTGTACCTATTTTTGAACTCATTCGATTCGGACTTTTGAGGGTTTAACAAACAATCCGATGAAAGGTCTGGGATAGGAAATAAATACACAGTAGCATTATGCATTACCTCATAGTCAGACGTTGATTTTTAAGATGTTAAGTTATTAAGTTGTAGTTAAATTGTATTATCAGTACAATATCCAATATGGTGACTAAAGTGAACATTTGCTTATTATCATTTTACCCTTTCCACCTCCTCTAGAATGTAAAAAGCTTTCGATGGTATTTTTGGATTAGCTTGTCACAAGTATTACTAGGTAGTGACTGTAGGTACTCATAACTAGGTGCTAACTAATCACTATTGTACATGCAGTAAATTAGCACCGAGGTACAAGGCAAAAGAGAAGTCGAAGGGTATGGACTCTGGAGGTATTAGGTATTACCAAACAGCAGCCAATGCCAGTCAGTATCTACTATCTACTATCTACTATCTACTATCTACCACCTACACCTACACCTACAATCTGGAGGGGAAGCACGAAACAAACGGCAAAAGACTACCTACCTACCTACCTACCTACCTTTTACCTGCGTACCCAGTTATTTATCAATCAATATTCATCATGGCCTTGAAACTTTCATCACCCTGGACCTTTGCACCTGTCCTATTTAGTAAACTCTTCCGAACCCGGTATTAATTAGCATAATTGTCTCAATGGCTGATGTGATTGCGATTGATTGCCTGGACCATGTCATTTGCTGAAGATATACACCACTTTACCATTACCAGTGTTTGTGCTTCTGTACCTTTGCTTATCGGGTAGAATTGCTCGAGGTCACTTCACCAAGTTATCTCATACAACATTTCATTATTTACCTATCTACCTACATGTCTAGTAGTAACCTTTATTTCCCTCTTATATTATCATTTTCATACCTCCCGACTATCCTCTCACATCCTCTCACTCTTCTTCAAACGTCGAAACTCTAAAACCCGAAAAGCAACAACTTGCCTAAGTTTGTGGAGAAATCAAAATAAGCTACCTGGGTATCTTCCCCCCGACCACTAAACCTCTAACCCATCCATACCTACATACATAATTGATTGGAGTCCACTCAGTCCACTCAATTGCATCGCATAAACCACCATCGCCTTCTCTCCCGCATCATTCTCAAAATATAATCAATCCCCGTCCTATAATTCTTCCGTCCAACCTACCGTCACAAACATTCACTTTGTTCCCCTCGTACGCCGGGAGCTCAAGGATAAGGTCGCTTGCTCAAACTAAAATCATCGAATCACTTCCGAGAATCTGGAGGGCCATTCAACTCCTGCCACAATTGTATGGATCATCAGTAAACAACCACAGCATTACCATCGCTCAGAACCAGAGCACGAGCTTAAACAGATGTTGACGCACAATGGAGAATGGATTTCTGGACGACCAGAATTTTTATTCTAGGCCTTTTCTTCACTCCGACGAAGCTCACTCCCCAGCGCAATCCCAATCTCAATTCCAGTACTCGTCCGATTTGACTTCACAACACCGACAAATACCTGCTTCCACTTGCGAATCTCCTCACCTTTCCCAAGCATTTGAATTCACCCCGGCACCGCCTCACCCTCCTAAACTACCGCTTCTTACGACCTCGAACCTGCAAGCAATTCAAACGAATGGATACATGAACAATTCGGATGATGGTGGAGAGCCAGATGACTTCTACAGAGATTATCAATCATTTTCACAGGCAAACGGCTCGCCAGCTCAAGTATTAGACATGCCTGCGACAACAATAAATGTTAGACCGACTCCCTCCACAGCGCGATCAAATAGTACCAGCAACTCATCCAAACAAACTCCCTCCGCCTCCCGAACCACAACGCGACCACCCTTCGGCTCAAACCTGTCGCCCGTTGAAAGCAATCAAAAGCAATCAACAAAACTACTTGCCAATGGATATGGAAAGGCACAACGACAACCAAGCGTGAAGGATCTCTTGAAGCGTTTTGATCAGAATAATGATCAGTCACTTCCCATGCCGCGAAAACCTGGGACACGAGCGAAAGATGGTGCTGGAATCAGTTCTGGATACATGAGAGATCGATCAATTCCATATACTCCCCGCGTAACCAGCAACCCAGGACCTACAACTACGAGTTCGTCATTAAGAGCCGGTACTGCTGCCAGAGAGCCGGGCTTAGCCAGAGTTAAATCACCTTCATCTAGCACAAGGGCCATGCAACGACCGAGGGTTGCGACAGAGGACCAACATTCAAACAATGCATTTTCGGCTTCTCCCCGCAACATTCGTACAAGGAATGCACCAAGTACCAAAGCCGGTCCAGCTTCGAAGTCAATGAATAACCTTTCGCGTTCGTCCCAATCCCAATCTCATATACCACCTTCAGCACCCGAGAAGCGTCCTCTGTTTGGCGAGATTTTAACTTTCAATCAAGGTACATCCGAGGCCGGTTATGGTATCCCAACGGCAACAAGAAGAACATCTGAGTCAGGCTTACCTTCTCTCATCTCGACGCAGCAACTTGATAGTACGGATGTCGATATATCTCCAACTTCGCCAACAGCGTGGTATCTAGGAGTGACACCACTTGGCGACGTAGAACCAAACAAACCGCGAAGATCGGGCCACAATCGTGCTCATAGTGATTTTGCGGACACCAAGGTAAATACTATGCACAATGTTAACCGCTCTTCGTTTCTCCTGCCAGAATCCCCAGTCAACGCCAAGGATTCCGATGCAACCCTTGGGCTAGATTCTCTACCTAATGCAGAAGAAGGGGCTGAATCCGAATTTCAGCCAGCAAAGCTTTCATCTCGGCTTCCTGTTGCTCTCAGGCGCTTAAGCGGCCAGTCAGATACATCAAGTTCACCCTCGACGCGTGCTAGTTCTCCTCTGACTGGCAAACGCGCACACAATTCAAAAATTCCTAGAGATTATCAGCCGTGGAGTCCTGGAGGACGCTCGGTAGCATCAGCAAATCGTTCTACCCCTCAAAACAGCCGTGTTAAATCACGCAGCCCGGACAAATCCCCTAGCAATGGTAGCTTAAAGGCTTATATTTCTGCACCGCCCGCGAAGAATTCGCCACCCTTACGAAGTTCACGTCCTCGACAACCTGTTTCTGCGGCATCAACAGCTAGCTCAAGACAGAAGGCAGTCGATGGATCGGCATCGCCGCATGATTCGAGAGCTGGGATGAAGGCGACTAGAACTGCTGTGACCACTGAGATGAAAGGACGTAGAGCTATGAACATGGAACCTGTCAATTACGCAGCACGGCGAGCACAAATTACGCGAGCATATACAAGATCAATTCATGAATCTGAGCTGCAGAAAATGCGAGCAGCCCATACGCGCGTTTCCAATGAAAAAATCCCTCAAATCACAAATGGCGAGGAAAGCCCAAAGCATGAACAGACGAATGCTCCCACAAGCAGAGACGATGAACCAGAAATGACATCGTTGGGAACGGAACCCTTACAGATCTTGACAAACTTTGAATCACAAACCTCAAAGTCATCAGTTGAGCGTCAAATTGAGATAGATCAAGATTCGCCAACTTTAGGTGTTACTAACGATATTCCCGGAGCATTTATCCAAGAGGATGTGCCTATGTCCGCGATTTCGAATGTTTCAGCCACTACTTTCATTGAAAATGAAGCGCAGACAGAAGGCCCTCGCCTTGCTCGCAACCCATCCATCAAAGTTACAGATTCGATTGCAGTCCTTGCTAAAGTACCTGAGGCAGACGATACCACTTCTGACCATCGAGAAGGATCTAGTGCCAACTCTTTGGGAATTCCGATCGAAGCCACTTTAATTGAAGTGGCTGGTGATGCCCGCGGAGCACTTTTAGAGGAGCCCATCGGCCATGAAGTGAGGATAGAAGCAATTTCTGAAGACTCACCAAATGGCACAGCCTATGATGAGCCAGCCACAGAAGAAGTTGCGGAGCCTCCGAGCCCGAAAACGTTGATATCAGAAACTTTTGATTCGAATTTCATAGATCATATAAATAATGAAGCAGATGCTATTGCAAGTATCGACTATGGCACTGGTCATCCTACTGATCTAGGTTCAGATGACAAAAGTGCTCAAGAGCTAGTCGATATTCCAATCAAAATCGAGGAGGACAGAGATGAATCCCATCTACACTTGGAACTAAGTACATATTCAGGAGAAAGCCCTAGACTCGAGTTACCAGCTTTACGTACCGCTCTTGCCGAATTCCTATCGCCACCAGAGACCGATAGACAGCCTGATTTGTACACTCCAACAGATATCGATTATGAAAGCTCTGAAGATATTGGCGCAGGGCACACCGGCAACACGAGCGAACAAGAAGATTTATATGGACCATCTTATGATCAGAATCGTGAGCTGTATCTTACATCTGACACCTACCGTCGTGAAAGCCGTCATTCTGCTTGGACGGATTTCTCAGTTGCCACAACAGATGATTCAGTCGCACAAGACGAGAATCAAAAGTGGATAAATACGAAGATTTCGCTCCCTGAATTACAGAAAGGACCTACCCCGCCTCCAAAGTTACCCCCTTCTCCTGAGCCACCTATACTAGTCGAGGAGATAGGTTCTGTGAATTCTTCTGGGCTTGAGTTACCTCCATTGACATCTCACAATGGATTTGGCCTTGGCTTTGATCCGGACACCATATACAGCGTCCCAGCTATCCCAGTATGGGCCAGCCTCACACCACCAATCACAGAGCATAACCATCGGAGGGAAAATGCACTTGCTAAACTAGGTCCTCCTACGCGTACACCTCCTCCTCCTACTCTTAACGATAGTCGACCTGGATCTAGCGCATACCAAACAAGTCACAAGGCCGCCAGCCAGAATACCGAATCCAGGCGTCCTAGCGATGATTTATATTCACCACGACCCTCTCTTTCTACCCCTAGGTCAAGTATGCAAATATCGCAGGAGGATATAACCCTAGGCCATAGCTACGCCGCTCCTAAACTCCCTCAGGTACCTCTCACCGAAGAAGAGCAAGCAATTGCCAAGAAGAAAAGCGCACGCTTATTTACACGACGAAAGATAATCGAGGAAATAATTGATACAGAGGCAGCTTACCTCAAAGACATGAATGTGGTTGAAGAAATTTACAAAGGTACGGCGGAAGCATGTCCGAAATTGGACTTCGGTGATATCAAGACCATCTTCAGGAATACGGATGAGATTATAACTTTCTCCACGGCGTTGCTAGATGACCTCAAAAAGGCAGGGGCAGCTGTGTACACTTCCAAGTCCCGCGCCAGACAAAGTCGAGCTACAGGTTCCACGTCAGCAACCACCACTGCAGCCAATACTCCAGCATCCCTGGGACCCAACGATAGTTGCTCAGATCCCCCGGAGTTGAACGATTTCAATGAAGAAAGGGATCGAAAGACTTTCATTGGCTATACCTTTGGTAAACATCTCCGGAAGATGCAAGAGGTCTACACGGAATTCTTGAAGAACAGCGAATTGGCAGCCGATCGCTTGAAAATTCTGTCAGCGGACCCTGCCGTAAGCGTATGGCTCATCGAATGCAACAATGTCGCGAAGGATTTGACGGCTGCTTGGGATCTTGATGCTCTGATGGTTAAACCAGTTCAGCGAATCACTCGATATCAGTTATTAATCGACAACCTCGTGAAGCATACCGCCGAAGATCACCCAGATTTCAATTCCCTTACGATTGCCGGTCGAGAAACGCTCAAATTATTGCAGACTATCGATAAACTCAAGGAACGTATTCAGGTTGTCGGTAAAATCGTTGGTCGAAAGCGTAAGGAATCAGAGGTCCGCCTCGGATTGGCCAAAGCATTTGGACGACGATCAGAGAAGTTAGCTTCTACTGTAGTTCGCCCCCATGACGATGAAGTGTTTGTCAAGTTGCATGAGAAGTTTGGTCATGATTACCTACGATTACAGGTGGTGATGCGTGATATTGAATACTACACGCGGCAGGTTGCTACTTGGGTCAACGATTTTCTCAGATTTCTTTCTGCTATGGAGCTCATCATGCGTCATAGCCCTTCCTCATATCCGGAAATGGAAGCTCGATGGTCTCAGTTTAATTTATCCATGAGAGATATGGGGAGCGTCGCTTTGGAAAACCATGTAGGCAACTTCTAATAAATCGTATAGGAAATCCATCGACTAATATAAAACAGGTAGCGAAGATTCGAAAAGAGGTCATTGACCCAATTGAGGCCGTTATCCGGTTATACACAGGGCCCACTGAATTCATGAAGAAACGTTCGAAGAGGCGCATAGATTATGAAAAGTGGATAGCTGCCAAGGCTAATGGCAAGAAGTCAGATGACAAGCTCCTCTCGTTAGTCAAAGAATATGACGCTCTAAATGAAACTTTGAAGACAGACTTGCCCCGACTCTCGGCCTTGACTTCGGAGATAGGCCGAAAAGTTCTTGCTAGACTTATCTGTAATCAAACCTCATGGTATTACATATGGCAAGAGAAAGTCAAGACTGTGCTGGATGCGAACCAAATACCGGTGAGCGTACATGAAATTGTACAATCCTTTGAACGAGACTACAAGTATGTTCTCGCTCAAACCCAAGAACTTCGTCTCATCAATGGTACGCTCGAGGTCGATTGCTTTTTCGATAGATCAGATTCAACCCCTCTTGCCAGTATCAAGGACAATGAATCGATAAAAACCAAAGGCCGACTGTCTGAATCCTCTGGTCGGCCACGAGGTTTGTCCTCGGCAGGCCAACATGACACGTCTCCAAGTCTACCAACGCCCGATTTTGCGAAGCGACACAGTGGACAATTTTCGTTCTCACCAATTTTGGCAAACGCACCAGGATTTCCGGCGCATGCTCCATATCTGCCGGCCGCTTACTCCACAGGACATTCACGAGCTGGATCGGGCTCTCCTGCAACGGATGCGAGCGCCTCTCGACTGTATAGCTCTACTAGACCATCAACATCACGTAGCATTGCCTCGGAAAACGGTGTCGTTCCGAGAATTAGTACAGACCTAGGACACCGTAGGGAATCGAGTTCTACTCAAGCATCTGCATCATACATGGTGGATGGCCCACTTCGTGATCAGCGACCGTTCTCTGGTATTTTCCATTCTGCAATGCCCCTGCCTGATGGTCCAGAGGATAGCGCTCGATCTTCAAGAGCTTCTTCAATGGATCGTACCCATAGGGGGCGGTATAATGTTATCTATCTGGCAGCAAGCTTATTCGAATTTAATATCGAGGCAACTAAGAAAGAGGCTGGTTACCCTTATTTGACATATTCAGCTGGTGAAGTAAGTCTTCATCTATTGCACCATTCCACTCGGTATATTAACACGTTTTTAGATCTTTGATGTCATCGGAGAGAAGGGCGAGCTCTGGTTGGCTAAGAACCAAGATGATGGCTCTGATCAAGTTGGCTGGATCTGGAGTAAGCACTTCGCTCGTCTGGCCATGGATTAAGCAACATCCACGACCTTCAATTCGTAATTTTCTTTCCTCTTTGTTTGCAGATGGCGCTTATTTTATTGATTTGGCGTTAAAATACCTGTATTTGTTTCCGAAATACCTTTTCACGCAGAAAAGTAGCATTTTATGTGGTCTATTGGCGCAATGGGGCAGGGTCGGAAATTCAAGCTTAATGACAGGACATGGTTCTAGGGAATCATTTTTGGTTTTGATCCGGCTATAGCTAGTGCCTGGGTTATACAGATTGGGTGCGGATGGAAAGGAAGGGCGTTCTTGATTTAGGAATGGGCGTTCAAATAAGCCTGATTTTTTCTCCTTTTTGACTTCTAATGTCGGTAAGATTGTTTTAGATTGCTTTTTATGGAGCGATTCGTTATGATGGATGGATGGATGGACGGATGGATGGATGGAACAATAAGTGTAGTCTGGAATCTTTTTCGTTTTCAATTTCTAAAGTTTAGTGTTTGCAGAGTTTGGGTTTGTTAATATGGATGGATGTCTAGGGCTCATGATCATATGCATGAGTTGATGATGTCGGATTTTGCTCTCGTGTTACTGTTTAATTTTGGACTGTTGAATATACTCTAGTGAGGAGCGAGAGCGAGA